TTGCTTTAATATCTCACCATGTGTAAAATGGCCGCCTATTTGATTACATTGGAGAGTGTCAGAATTATCTATTAGTCTGTTGGTATGCCTGTCATTTGAAGTTAGAAGTTGACAGAAGATATTTCATCAGACTGTGGTTGGACCAGTAAGTCCCTAAATACAACCAAGTGTGCTGACTAGCCTTTTCTGAGTTTGATTGTACTGTGAATACTTTATATACCCTTTCTTTCTTGGAGAAAACCTACATTTGTTCACAGATGGCCCCTGAATCTTGCCTCTTGCAGAACTTCCACAGTTTTGGGACTCTTATGAATCACACGCGCCACTGGAAAAAAGTGTTATCAGTAAGAAAATGAAGATAGATAGAGAGGTTTGCAGGATCAAATACCTCATTCATCACCATGGTGCCAGCCAGGCACCTTGTAGCAGTCTTTAGTTGGACCTCACACTGAACGCAAGGCTAGCATGAGCTGACAGCAGTGTAGCTGCATTGCTTAGGCTGCTTCAGTGTTTAGGCAGCACTCACTAGGTAGGCAGATCAAAAGCAGCCTTTAACTGTCCCATCTTATGCCTGCTATGTTCTTCTTGCAGGCCAACCTGCCCCTGCTACAGCGTGAACTCCTCCACTGCGCAAGGCTAGCCAAACAGAACCCTGCCCAGTACCTCGCTCAGCACGAACAGCTGCTTCTGGATGCCAGCACCACCTCCCCTGTCGACTCCTCAGAGCTGCTTCTCGATGTGAACGAAAACGGGAAGAGGCGAACTCCAGACAGGTGAGAGGGAGGAGGCCCCCTGGACTAACTGTGGCCTTTCTTCCTGTCTCAAATATGAAGACCTGTTTTAAGTCACTTTGAAATTGCTAGCTTCCATTTCTCATGGGAACAGTCTGGGCATCTCATGGTGGCCTGAGTTTTACAGAGAAGTGAGTCTCTGGCCTGTGTCTGGGCAGCTTTTGTGCAGATTGACTTACAGGTTTCATTATTAAAGCTAGAATGTAAAGATAAGGTATTGACAAAAGGACCAAGTGTCAGCAAGGGTTCATAGACACAGTTCAACATTGAAATTCTCACTTATTACATAGCCATTACTGAACCATAGATTTTACACTCCAGTGTTTGTGAAAGTTGCTGTCCTGTTTCCTTAAACCATGATGCATTTGAAAGTTGGCCTATATGTGTTAGTCCATGAGCAGAGAACAGTAGCAATTTGATCTAAGAAATGCTGGATAAACTGTGAGAGAACTTACAGGAAGCCAGATGAGCTAAGTCAAAATAACAGCTATATGACAGAGCTAACAGATAAAATAAGGATGATGATGATAATAATAATAATAGTTTTTGTTTAAGAGCCAATATTTATTTCCTCGGATACTCTGTTCTCAAGCCTGTGAGTTCTAAGAAAGAGAAAAGGGGCCTTCTCTCCATTAAACCCACAGATTAATTGTTGAATGTGGCATATACATGAAACTTCCACATACCTTATTAAACTATTTTCATAAATTCTTCAGCCACAGGTATTCATAACATGAATATGAAGTCTTAGCAGCATTTTGCACAGTGTGTGTGAACTATGAAGATACTCAAAAAGGAACTGTGTTCTAGACCTTACATCTTATGTCCTCTCCCTCTCCCTCTCCCTCTCCCTCTCTCCCTCTCTCTCTCCCTCTCTCCCTCCCTCTCTCCCTCTCTCCCTCTCTCTCTCCCTCTCTCCCTCTCTCTCCCTCCCTCTCTCCCTCTCTCCCTCTCTCTCTCCCTCTCTCCCTCTCTCTCCCTCTCTCTCTCCCTCTCTCCCTCTCTCCCTCTCTCCCCTTCTCCCTCTCTCCTTCTCCCTCTCTCCCTCTCCCTCTCTCCCTCTCTCCCTCTCCCTTGATCTTTTAAACAGCTTTGAGGGTCAAACTCTGGTACAATTGTGTTCTGCATTCCAGGAACTTAGAAGGTTTGGAATTACTCAGAGACTTCCATCTCTGGCCAAGAACTTCCTTTGCACACATTACTGGCTTTGCAAATCAGTGCATTAGTACCAGTAAGCCATGTTGCCTGCAGTTAAGCAGTTTTTATGCAGCAATCCATTCTCTTCCTGTAAGGTTTCTTGCTTCTTTTCTCCATCTTTTCATCCCTCCTCTTCCTCTTCCTCTTCTTTTTTGAGGAAGGGTCTAAGTTTGTAATCCAAGCTAGCCTTGAATTTATAGCAATCTTCTTCCAAGTTGTCAGATTATAAGCATGAGCTATTAAGACTGGCTCAGTATAGGACTTAAAAAGTTATATGTTCTTTCACAATTTCCTTGTTCTCTCTGTCTTTCTCTCTTTCACCCTCCCACCATCTCCCTATCATGTGTGTATATGTGTGTTATGTATGTTTAAAATGTGTTATATGCCTTTTTTCATATTCTCCACCAACTATTATCTTCTGACTCCCACTAAACCACTTCTTCCAAGTAAGTCCTTCTTCACTTTGAGGAATTTTTCTCTTCTTTTCTTTTTGTGAATGTGATTAGAGTTGCGTAAGTGTGAATAAGGACTATTTATTTGAAGACATTGACTCACCAGTGACTACACTACTAAGGAATGTGTCCACTCTTTTAGCAACCAATAATGGCCTATAGCTTCTTAGGGAAGAGTTGGGCTTTACAAGTCCCTGTTCCATCTCTGATGCAGCATTGGTGGCCTAGTCTTAGGTTGGTTGGCATTGCTACTGTGAACTCATGGGTGCAGCAGCCATGTCATGTCCGGAAGATCACATTTCACAGCTCTTTCACATCTTCCTACCTTTACGTTCTTTCTTCCCCTTCTGCCATGATCCTCTGTGAGTCTTTGAAAAGGTGGGATAGATGTATCATTTAGGACTAACTATTTAAGCCTTCCAACGTGTTAGGGGTTAAAAGAAGCTTTGTAATCTAAGTATGAGGGTGTATGAACCACGATGTCACTCATGGTCTGCATGTGCATGTCTTAAACATATTAAAGTTCCAGGAAATGAGTTCCATGTGCAGGTATTGAGATATCCCATGTTTCTAGGAAGATAAGTTTTAAACTGTGAGAAGGAGAATTTATTTTGAGGAGAATATAACAGGGGAATGTTTAGATCACTAAGATAAATGTAAAGATGACATTCTTGTTTCTATGGCCCCTTGTATACATGTGTGTATGCATTCAGTCACATAGACTACACTTATAGGAGTTTCTCATCTTATCCTGTCTTGACTATTTAGGACAGTAGCTGTAGTCAGATTTCCTGTGATGGTTCTTTGGATAGAACATTCTTTCACTAGCTGATGTGTCTTTTGTAATGGAGAAATGGCAAATAGATTTCCTTACTGTTAAGAGGAAAGGTAATGAGAATATGTTGTGTAAATACATTTGTATCTTGTGGGAATTTTATCAGAGCCAAGAAAATATGGGTCTCTATAGTATAGTTTTGCATATATTTCCCAAATCTCGTTTGCATATGCATTTTCTTCTTCTCTGGTTATTTATTTGTATCTCCTGCTCTACTATATGAAATTTTATAGAGTAGATAGCTGTCTGACAGCAGAGTTTTTTGTTGTTTCAGTGAATGTTTTGTTGGTGCATATGGTCTGACATGGATGAGCAACCACGGTGAGATTTTGGAGTCTATTAAAGTGGCTCATTAAAAAGATCAATCTGTTTCTGTAATAACACTGGGAGCCATCAGTCACCGGAAGAGGGAAAAACTGACACCTGAGGAGAAAACACATTTTGGTAATTTGTTCATGACATATCATGAACAAAAGAGCACTCTATATTTTATTTACAACTTTAGGGCTTTAAATTCTATGATTATCGCCAAGTTAATGTGTTTCAGGGATGGTCTTTGACAAGCTTAGTTTTATTCTTATCCTTAAATTTATTTTTACTGGCTATGTGTTTTTGTTGTTGCTATTTTTTATTTTAAACTATCATTGTTATTTTATGTCACTTGAGACAGTCTCATGTAACTTAGACCAGCCTTGAACTCTCTAGGTAGCCAAGGAAGACTTGAACTCCAGATCCTCCTGCCTCTACCTCACAAGTGTTAGGATTATAGACATACACCACTGAGTAGGGCTACTGTAATTGTCGTTAACAGGAAAATTAATTCTCTCTATAAGTTTATGAACTAATTCCTTGCTTTTTTTCTATATGGAAGAGAAAATTTCCTTACAGTTTCTTATAAAATTAGCCTAGGAGTGAGTCCCTGAATAATTGTATTGAATGTGTTGTCTATAGAAATATTGTAGAGCCAAACCCCCCACCCCCAAAAAAATCCAACTAGTTTTTATTCAAAATCATCCTTTCTCATACTATTAGGGAAAGATAATCTGATTTGTAAATATTTTTCCTTGTTTATTCTTTTTCTTTTTGAGCCAGTTAAATGTAATGAACAAATAGTTTGTCCCCTGTAAGCCAGGTCTGATGGCTCATCAGGCCTCAGTACCAGCGTAGTGAGTAAGGAGGGGAAGAGCAAGGAATGCTTCATTTCATGGACACTGCAAAGATTCTGTGCTTTCAGATGGGCTCCATTGCTTTTTGGCTTTCTCTTCACTCATTCAAATGAATGCTTCTGGGTACCAATTCTCTTACTCTTTATCATCATTTCAATGACGTAATTCCTCAGTTTAACACTGTCAGACATTTATTTCTGAAGCTGTAGAACTGGATTATTATGCACCCCTCCCCATCAATAACTAAACATTTTCAAATCACAATTTGTTTGCATATTAGACCTATGTAGATGTCACCTGGAAGGGATCTTATGAATGGACCACATCAACTGCTTCTCTTCATCCTTGAGGAAATCCAGACTTAAAGAATTTTCCCAAAGTCACAAAGCTTCCTAAAGGAGAACCAGTTGTATATTTGTGTTGAAATCTTGTAGTTGTACAAAATATGTTTCAAGGTACAGAAGTTAAATAAGAAAACTCAATTAAGAATTGGAGATTTTGCCGGGCGGTGGTGGCGCACGCCTTTAATCCCAGCACTTGGGAGGCAGAGGCAGGCGGATCTCTGAGTTCAAGAGTTCGAGGCTAGCCTGGTCTACAGAGTGAGTTCCAGGACAGCCAGGGCTACACACAGAGAAACCCTGTCTCAAAAAAAAAAAAAAAAATTGGAGATTTCTCTTATTCTCTAATTAATTTCTTTTTTGTAATTACAGAAGTAGGTAAATGCCATAGCACAATGCTCTAAGGATTTGTAAGTCTTTTTTAATGATAGAAAATCCATAATGAACCAGGTTTCCTAGCTTAATGATTAAGTTAGTAAATGTTGAAGGTTAGAGATCAAAGGCTGTCATTTTCAAATTGCATTGGTTGAATATGTAAGGTTTGGCACCAGCTTATACTCCAACTAAACTGTATATGTCATATTTCTTCCTAATAAAATGAATGAAGGATCAATCATCTTTATTTTCTAAGAAAGAAAATGTACATATACTTTCAGGGAAAACTGCATGATTACTCTGCTCTATAAATAAGAACTAAATCTGTATGTTCAACTGTGTTTAACATCCCCATGAAGGAAGTAGGAATTTTTTTTTACAATAGTCATATTTTGCATGCATCTTTATGCATTCATTGGTTTCAGGAAATATGCTATAATCTCTGTGGTAATTATTTTCTTATTCATATCAGTTATGAAGCCTTCTGGTGACAGCATTGAATGAGAAGACATTTCCACCATCATGAATTCTAGCTTCAATTTAAGTAGCCTTCCTTCTTGTCACTCCTTTCGGGTCCAGCTATTTCATTAATCATTAAGCTAGGAAACCTATGCCTACT